AGCTTCTTTCACACTGATGGGCATGAATACAAAGCACTTCCCACAATGCCCCGGTGTTCCCAGTACCTCTTCTCTGGGACTAAAACCGCCAACACCCTGTACCCATCTGTTCCAGCCAGCCCATCCACTTGTGTCTTTCAGTGCTCACTCCACCTGGGAGACTCCTTGCTATCGAGGAGCATGTTCCCAGTGGAGGTCATATTGAAAGGATCCCACCCACAGGCCACATGTTGAGCCCCATGACAACACACATTGCAACGCGGGCCGCAAACAAGCGGGCCGCATGCGGCCCATGGGCCACATGTTGAGTAATCCTGATTTAGACTATACAGGCTACCCAACCTCAACCACCGCAAACACAAGTGAGGTGAATGGTGGGGTATTACAGTTGATTCATTCATGGTTTTGCCATAATTACTGCATCCTTGACCAAGCTATTCACTAAGGGTAGCCTGCAATGGGCGTGTTGGTCCCCCAAATGCAAAGAGGCTTTTCGGTGACTGAAGGACCACCTATGCCAAGAACTAGTACTGTACAGTCCTGACTTCACTCATGGCTTCATTGTCCCAATGGACTTGTCAGTGGTAGGACTTGATGCTCTCTTCTCCCAGAACATCTATGGGAGGAATATCCAGACTTCTACATCAGCCAGAAGCTATTCCCACAGAAACACAACTATTCCATCATTGAGAAAGAAGCTCTAGCTGTTAAGTGGGTGATAGCTCTCCATTATCTTGTGGGCAGGTCTTCCATCATAGTGAAAGACCACACATCCTTAAACTGGCAACAGGTCATGAAGGACACCAGTGCGGGTACCTTAGCCTCTAGCCTTTTGTATTTAGGATACAGCATCATGCTGGGAAGGAACATGCAAGGGTAGCCTCTTGTCATGCCTGGAGGATGGGGACCAGGCCAGGTCAGAGCCAGGAAATCATGTCAATCCCATAAGACACAGTAGAGCAGGACAGAAAGTATAAAAGGCAGGCAGGCTTTTTAGCTCTGTTGGGCTGGCGTCAGCAAAGGAGACAGCCCCACTCCAACCCACTGCTGGGGGTTGTGCCCAAGGGGGACCTCTGCAGAGCTGAGGATCTAAAGGGACTGCCAGATGCTGATGAGTTGCTGGGATTGCTGCTAGCTGTGTAACCTGAGGAAACAGAGGACCCCCATGAGCTGAAAGTACCCAGTGAGAGGATCATAGGAAGTATCCCAGGGGCACCAGACAATAATCGGTCTGTGACCAGAATCCTGGTCAGCGTGTGGAGCCCTCCAGCACTCTTGGGGACCCATGGAGTAGGGTTTGCCCCGGTCCCCAAGCCGCCCTGCTGCTCTCACACTCCTTGGGTGGCCACCTCTACCTCCCCATCTTAAGCATCTGCCTGAGGCAAGACGGGCTGACTGTTGTTGCCCTGGACTACTGCTGCACTGCCCTGTCTGAAACCCTAGACTGTTTGATGCTTCCCCCTGCCTAGGGGATCAGGGCCTCCGAGGCTGCTAATTCTCTTTTATGTCAGTCTTTAGAGACACAGCAGCAAGGGGGAATGGTCTCCCTCTGGGCCTTGTGGGGTGGGATGGACACAACACTTTCCAGTGGGCTTTGTCTCTAGTGCTGAAGGTCAGTGTTTGAGCTCGAGCCTCCTGGACAGTAGTCTGCCTTGTCATTGAGGCTGTTCCTCTTTCAAAAGGTTGCAATGATTTTTCCTTTCCCCTCATTTGAAATTATCAGAGCAGAAGGAAAAACTAACTCAATTAGCTCAGTCCTCTCTGGTCCCTTCCATTAGAAGCCAAACAAGAGGCTCTGAGGCTTGCCATACTGTCAGTTTGGCAGTGACTTTCTCTTGGAAACCAATCCCCTGTTTGAAGTTCACAAATTTGGAATGTGGTGCAGCAGTATTCTCCATTTATTTTTTTAACAAAACCCTGTGTTTTAAATACCATTTCAGTGGCATTTAAACATTTGTTTAAAGTCCAGCCCCCTTCCTGAAAAGGGATTCTTTCCTACTTTGAGACCTAAATAGATTCCTGTTCATTTCGTGAGTATGGTATGAGATTGGATACAGTGTTTTTTTTTTAAATTTATGGAGGTTGCACCAATGTTACGGAGAGGAGAATTTGTCCTGTCTATTGATCTTTCATCTAGTACCTTCTAGCAGGGCCAGTCAAGTATGATTTACACAAAGGAATGCTGGTTGTGAGTCATACCTGAGTAGGAACTTGAAATTCAGGCTTAGCTGGATTTGAATAGGACCTGCAATTTCTGCTACTATATCACTCTTTTCTCAGCAAAATGCAGGACAATGTAGCACTTTAAAGACTAACAAGATGGTTTATTAGATGATGAGCTTTCGTGGGCCAGACCCACTTCCTCAGATCAAATACTGGAAGAAAGTAGTCACAACCATATATACCAAAGGATACAATTAAAAAAATGAACAAATATGAAAAGGACAAATCACATTGCAGAACAGGAGGGGGATGTTGAAAGAGCCAGACGAATACCTAGAAACCATCTACTTCAAGACAGACCCAAGAAAACCAACAATAGAACACCACTTGTCATCACCTACAACCCCCAACTTAAACCTGTCCAACACATTATCAATAAACTACAGCCTATATTGGAACAGGATACCATACTCAAAGAGGCTCTGGGAGACAGACCCATAGTCTCCTATAGACAACCACCTAACCTCAAGATGATTCTTACCAACCACCACAGGACATACCACACTAATACCAACCCTGGTACCTTCCCTTGCAACAAACCCCGTTGCCAGCTTTGTCCACATATTCATTCTGCTGATACCATTATTGGACCTAACCAAGTGAGTTATAAGATCAAGAACACATATTCCTGCGCATCCAGAAATATAATCTACGCTATCATGTGCCGAAAGTGTCCGTCTGCTATGTACATTGGACAAACATCTCAGACACTTCGCCAAAGGATTAATGCCCACAAAACAGATATCAGACAAGATCACAAAGAGAAAACAGTTTCTTGCCACTTTAACCAGAAAGGACACTCTCTAAATGACTTAGCCACCTGCATTCTGCTACAAAGACCTTTTACATCTGCACTTGAAAGGGAATCCTCTGAACTGTCATTCATGTTAAAATTCGACACTTACCACCAGGGACTTAACAAGTCTTTGAACTTTCTCACCCATTATCAAGACAGTTTCCCCAATTATCACCTGTAATACCATTAACTCACAAACATCCCACTCTCCCTACCTCTAATATCATCAATTCACAGACACTTACCTTCCTTCCTCCCCCTTCCCACCCCCCCGCCTCCTCCTTCTGTTCTGCAATGTGATTTGTCCTTTTCATATTTGTTCTTTTTTTTAATTGTATCCTTTGGTATATATGGTTGTGACTACTTTCTTCCACTATTTGATCTGAGGAAGTGGGTCTGGCCCACGAAAGCTCATCATCTAATAAACCATCTTGTTAGTCTTTAAAGTGCTACATTGTCCTGCATTTTGCTTCAACTACCCCAGACTAACACGGCTACATTTCTATCACTCTTTTCTCAGAGTGTTTTACATCCAACAGATTCTTCTGCTGTTAGATAAACATCAGTACATGTATACAATATCACGTATTACATCCTTGGCTGGTTTGAATTGATTTATGCCAGTTTACATTAGATGAGGCTCTGGCTCCATGAGTATAAATGGTGCTTTACTAATCACATAGGATAGGGCTTGAAAAATCCATTAGTCCATGAACGAATGAATGGGTTGGAGATTGCAGAAGGCAAAAGTGGATGGTTTGGGGGCCATTGGTGGATTAGCTTGAGAATTCCTCCACTTGGCTATGGTGCCTCATCATATATTTTTAAAGAGTGGAGATATAAATCATAGTAATAATTAATTGCATCTTACTATATATTTTAGAAATGTGCATCTATCTGTCTGTCTGTGAGTCCATTTGTTTAGGAGCAGTTCTTGAACAGTAAGAGCTCAGAGCACTAAATTTGGTACACAGCTTTCTCTTATCATAACTTAAAGCAATGTAAGGCCTTGATTGTGCCAAGACAATGGGATGTGCCTGGAATTTCATTGTTTCTGATAAAATGGAAAGGGAGGGGGTCTGGTAGGAGGGAGTTATATTGTAGAATGACCACAGGGGGCAGCAAAGGTACAGCGATGGGGACTGGAACAGCTATATTAAATCATGGAAGGAAATAACTATATTGGAAGATGGTCTAGTAGTGGATCGTGCACTGGACTGGTACTCAGGAATTGTGGGTTCAGTTCCTAGCTCAGCCATTTCCATTGTAACCTTGAGTGAGTTACTTGGTTAGGAGTGCTGTGTGTACAATATTAATTAATTATTGAGAGATGTTTGGATACCACAGTGATGATGGCCATATAAATACCTAGATAGTGGGAGAGTAAAGTTGGTGGTTTTGGAATCATGGGTGGGGAAAAAATGGAGACCTTGGCCATTAAATTGTTATTATTTGTTACATATATTGAGATACTGTATTTAGTCTACACATAGATGAAATTTATGTTTGATAGAATAAAAATAACAGCATTCACAGTAAAGGCCCACCCTATTGTATATTATACAGACATCAACAAAAGGCAGGTGCTGTTCCAAAAAGCTTGCAAGCTTAGTCCAACACAAGATGCAACTGGTGGGTGAAAGGAATTAGGCAGGTGATGACGCTGACTGTAATAACAGTGACATAAACATGTTTTTCCATAGGCAAGCTACACATGCAGTCTGTAGGTGTCGATTTTTAAAAAATTCCTCTTTGCTAATGGAGACAATCAGATCAATTGCTGTGACTTGAGATGGGGCTATCCAGTGCTGTTGGTTAAGTAGAAAAACAGAAGCCAAGTTTTACAGTGGTTTTCTGAACTGATTCATCGTGTTCCTGATTTTCATGGCTGGGACTTTCATGACTGGTTTCTTTAGTGACAGCTAACTGCTGCTGCTAATTGCCTTTATGGTTAATCAGATGTAAATGATTGTCTTCACAGCTTTTTCTTGTGCTTCCGGTGAATACCTCGAAATGAAGAATCAAGTGTGCAGTAAATGTGCTGAGGGGACGTATTCCTTGGGCAGTGGGATCAAGTTTGATGAATGGGATGAGCTGCCAGCAGGATTCTCCAATGTAGCCACTTTCATGGACACTGCTGTTGAATCAGCGGAGAATAAAGCAGACAGCTGTAACAAGTAAGAGGCGTCTGGGTTGGTCTGTGGCCACACCAGTGAAGGGGCTGGTTTAATGCTCATGGATTTCAATGGGCTATGGATCAAGCCTATAGTTTGTTGTGGGAACCAGCTGCTCCAATAGCATACTAACCTGGAATTATCACAGTAGGTGGTGATGGGTAAACTCTGCCCCTCAGCGTGGAATGCTGGTTATGTGTTAGTGGAGGCTCTTGGAACTTGGCAATGCCATTAGCTGGATAACATGGGACAATTAAGCATGCTAGGCTGTGTAAGTATAGAAAAGTATATAAAAGCAATCTCTGCACATTGCCAAAAATCACACTTTGGCAATTTTGAATGGTTGAAACTGAAGGATAAATCAAAAGGAACCTATTTGATCCTACTGATCCACTTGCACGAAGTCAGCTTCATCCTCTACCTGAGCCTTTCTCTGTACGGGGGGACTCTTCAGGTGGTGTAGGACTAGCAGAGGGGCATGACCGGACAGGCTAGGTAGCCCCTACTGTCAATCAATCCCTTGCTGTCATAATGGCCTATTAGACATCATTAACAGCCAGAGAAACTTGGATCAGCCCTGAGCTGCTTTCACTTGTGCCTGAGTGGCTCCAAGATTATAGAGAAGTAAAGATAGCTTAAAGCTACTTTTACACCCTGCATGATCCATGCTGATTGCAGAAGGCCTGTTCTTAAGACTATGTCCCTCTGTATCCTAGACAAGTGGTATGAAAGCCTTCCCAGTTAGGATGCATTAGAAGTTTCAGGAAACAACATGCTTTTGCCCCATTCAGAATTTGGATTTCCAAAAGGTAACCTGTGAAAAATATGTGGGAAACTAAAGTTTGCATCCTATATATGAATATATATTTTTAAATAAGAATGTTATAAATGTGGTTAGGCTGTCTGTGATGTAAAATAAACCTTGGTTTGTTTATCCAGCTCTTCGTGGACTCCTCATGGGAATTACATAGAGTCAAACAGAGATGACTGCACTGTTTCTCTGATCTATGCTGTACATCTGAAGAAGTCTGGTTCTGTCTTCTTTGAATACCAGTATATTGACAACAACATCTTCTTTGAGTTTTTTGTAAGGCTTTTATATTCCAAATTTAACCTCAAAGTAAAGAGATATGTTCCAGATAAAGATGTATTTTGGAATCAATTTTATTTTCTCCTCATCCATGTTATTAGTGTCTCTTTGGCTTATTAAATCTGAACATATTTTAAAAATCTCATTTCTTCTCTACCATTTATGCTTCCACTTTACTATTTGCATTTTATTCATCCAGGTTGCCTATAGTTTGCACAGTTCTGTCAGTGGCATGCCATCTGGCAATGGGGTTTATTGTGTTGCCAACTCTGTCCACACATCTATACAAGTGACACCATCACAGGACCTAAGCACATAAACCACAATATCAGGGGCTCATAAAACTATCCTCTAATGTGATCTATGCCATCAGGTGTCAGCAGTACCCCTCTGCCATGTATATTGGCCAAACTGGGCAGACTCTACAACAAAGAACACAAGTCTGACATCAGAAATGGTAACACATAAACCTGTAGGGGAACATTTTAACCTGCTTGGGCACTCATTAATGGATTTAAAAGTAGCCGTTCTTCTACAAAGAAATTTCAAAGGCCAGTTACAGAGAGAGAGAGAGAGTGCGGAATTGACCTTCATATGCAAATTCGATACTCTCTCCCTAGGCTTGAACTGAACTGCACATTATAAAGCCAACCTTCTGTGCATTTAACACCTCATTTACATAAAAAACTAAGTATGGGAGCTTTCCAGCACACTCAGTTATCCTCCAATTGACAGGTACCTTCCCCCACTCTTCTTTTCCTATTATAAATTCTTGGGTTCCTGTCATTTCTACTCCAGGTTCCATCTCTTCTGAGGAAGTGGGTTTTGCCCATGAAATCTCATGATACTATATATATTTTTGTTATTCTCTAAGGTGCCACAGGACTACTCATTGTTTCTAAAATTACAGACTGACATAGTTACCCCTCTGAGAATTTTCAAATATATTAATTTTAGTTACAACACAGAACTCACTTTATATTATTTTTTAATTCAAATATTTGCACTATAAAAAGATAAACAAAATAAATAGTATTTTTCAATTCACCTCATCCAAGTACTGTAGTGCAATTTCTTTCTTGGGAAAGTGCACTTTACAAATGTAGATTTTTTTTGTTACATTGTTTTCAAGTGTGGTAACGTAAAACTTTAAAGCCTACAAATCCACACAGTCCTACTTCTTGTTCAGCCAATGCTAAAACAAATTTAATCTAGTTTGGCTTGTTTGTGTAGCATTGTTTACGTTGTGAGTTATGTGAATCTGCATATGTGAATGCCCTTATGACGTTCAGGAACTGAGAATCCCAATCTCATAGGTGGCAGCTTAAGCCAAAAGTTTCAGAAATGGCTGGTGATTATGGAAGCCTTGGTTTTTGGTTGTCTGATTTGAGACACCTATAAGGGGTCTGATTTTCAGAAAGAGCTGAGAACCTGCTTCCTCTGAAAGGTGTTTCAAGCAGGGCACTGAAAATCACTAGTCATCTTTGCAAATCTTGGTGTCCATCTTTGGGAAAGGCTCAGTCTGTGTCACTATCATGCAGAGAGAAGGATGAAAAGTGAGCTATTTCTGAGGCTTGCGATTGGGACTTTCAAAAGAGCCCAACACAGCTTTCATTGTCCACTTGGCACTTTCCTCAGTCATGTACCTTTTGTGCTTTCTCCCATGTGTCCTCTCCTGTTTGGGAGATGCTCCCTGTCAACAGCCACAAAGCTAACTCATTATCCACCTTCAGATCCCTCCTTAAAACTCTCCTTTGCTATGACACCTACAAAAAACTTGACAACTTGCAGAGACAGCCTATCATGCTGACCAAGACAATCTCATTGTTTACTTGTACTTCTGTCTGTATCTGTCTGTTGTCTCTTACATTCTAAGCTCCTTGTGGGCAGGGAACATCTTTTTGTTCTATATTTGTACAGCATTTAGCACAGTGCCTAGTCTATGATTGTGACTCCTAGGAGCTATGGTAATCCAAATAAAAATTAATAATGATAAAAAGGTTTAGGAGCACAGATCTCATTAATTTTCAATGGGACTTACAAGTCAGTTAAGGGCTCTGAAAGATTCCACCCTGAGCTATCTTGCTTTGCTGGTCAGTGTTGCATTTGCTGCTGAATGTTGAGAAAGAGGGCAAATGAGGACCTAAAACAGAGAGAGACGGCAGTTCACAATAAGTATGCTGGAAATTGTCCACCTCCCCCCTTGTGTTCTCTGGCAGATGAGTCATTGCCGTCTGCAAAGCACTGTCACAGTGGTGCTAGGCCTTAATTAATATTTGTACAGTATTCTGAGATGCTGGGTTGAGAGCCTCTCTATTTAAGTGCAAAGCACCACTGCCCTTCGTAAGGGATAAGAAAGGAAGACAAAAATAACTTGATTTTGACGCCTGAGGCACTTTATTGCTGCGTCTGCTGCTTCAATAAAATCTACTGCACTTAGATAATAAATAGTGCATACTGTATTAAACCTCTTTCACTTTTTATCATAGGTCGTACCTGGTTCATAAGAAGTAAGCAGCAAAATGTGCTTTTACTGCCAGATGCATATAGTAGAATATGATTTTCCCTGTGGTTTCTTGACTAATGATTGATTTTTCTCTTACACAAAAGCAAAAATGTTTGAGCGCTACGTCTAAAAGCTGCTTCCCACTTATTTGCTCTTATCAACTTAACACTGATAGTTGTTCACTTCTTTAGGTTTGCCATCCCCTCTTTCTATATCAATTAGCAGGCTATCATTTTAAAAGCCGTTAACCAAATAATTGTAACTTGGCAGCTAGATTTTCATTCTGATGCTCTACTGTTTAAGGTTCCATATGTAATAAGGTTTTAAGAATGCACTTTTCCCCAGAATGCAGGGTTAAGTAAATATTATTCATCTTTCATCAGCATCTGCCTAGAATTTAGGTATAAACTCTATCTGTCTTAAAGATTTATATGGCCCCCAGTACCTAAATACCTTATGATCTTTTCATGTGTTTAAACTCCCACATCCCTATGAGGTAGGGCAGTCCCATTAACATCATTTTAAAGATGGGGAAACCGAGGCACAGAGACACATTGGCCCAGATGCACAAAAGTACACTATTTAGGTCCTAATCCCCATTTTTAAGTGCCTTCTTTTGGGCTCCGCTATCATGCACAAAGTCCCTGCTTAGCTGCCACCTAACCCTGTTGATACTAAACTCATTCAGCACCTATTGCTTTGCAGTAGAAGTTCTCTTGATGTCCTTGTTGGTGCCTCTGGGCACATGCACTGCTGTCCCACTCTAGGTGTCTGGATTCCTGTCTCTCACCTAATCCTTGCGTGAGCCGCAAACCAGGGAAAAATAGGCATTCCTTCCCTCATTCACCTATAGAGCCTGATCTAAAGGTATGCTCAGAGCACCCCTAACTCTACCCAAAATAGCAGCAGCAAGACATGCTTCAGGAGGCTAAGCTACTCTCTGGGGGAGTGGCAGGAGGAGACCTGAGGTTCAAATCCTGCTCTGGCTGAACAGGGGAAAGGATTGGAAAAAGGATGTGCTGCTTCTCTGATTGGTGCTTTCACTGCTTGCCTACCCAGGGATTCTTGCACTTTCTCAGTTAATATTTAATTAATCAGTGTAAGTGGAACAACTTCACTGGGTGAGCTGGAGAGAGACCCACATCAGAATATCCCCGAGTGTGAGCTGACTTGTTAAGTAGGCTCAGACGCCACTTATGTCTACACAAAGCAGAAGCATGAGGAGGAGAATCTCTTTTGTATTTTCAGCTCAGTGGCTAAGGCACTCAGCTGAGAGGTGGCACATCCCTGGTCCAATCCCTTCTCCTCAGGCAGAAGACAGAATTTAGCCCTGTATTTGGAAGCCCTCTCAGTGTGGTGGTGATAGAAAACAGAATCACCTTGCCATTGGTCTATAGACATCCTCCTGTGGTGCATCCTGCCTCAGCCTGTTAGCCTGGTGTCTCATTGTGGCTACTGTTTTTAATTGACAGATTCAAAATGATCAGTGCAAAGAGATGGACTCCACAGCCGACAAATGGGTGAAATTAACAGACAATGGCGAATGGCGTTTTCATTCCGTAAGTGCTAAGTATCACACCACAGAGCTTCTCTTATGTTCATTTATAATGATTGATTCCTATATGTGAGCAAGGGAGGGCTGCGTCCTGTGAATTCAATGAGAAGAGCACAGCTTTTCTGAGGAGCAAGTGATACACGCTCTAAACGGATGCATGTTCAAAAGGCCAGATCCAAAGCCTGTCTGTCTGTCTATGCAGGCCTTCCCACTGACTGCACTGAATCAGGTCCTTTAAGAAGTCAGGCAGATATATGGGAATTCAAATTCCTCGGGGCGCTCCCATTAATCTTGAGCCTTATCTTCCTAAACACTTGCTCATTCACATGCATGTAGACTATTCCCCGCCAAGTGAATGAGACTGCAGTCTTCTGGTGTTGTATGTGCACATTTGAGGGTAGGTTCTAGCCTTTTAGTTTCAAGTGAATTTCTAGGGGCTAGGCTGCACTGATTTTTCTCAGCAGTTTGTAAACCAGTTGTGACTGGGGTCCCAACAGAGATTGTTTAGTTAGGGCAAACTGCAAAGAAGGGGTCAGACAACCCTCAAAACTGATGGTTATTCTGCTAATTAGATTTACCAAGCCAAAACAGCTTCTACAATACCTTATTAGTTGCCCAGAAGCTAAAACCATCCTTCTTTTTAAGCAGCCCAGCTAGGGACTTTCTCCCAGACAAGTCAAATAGAATGAAAATAGCACGGAAAGTCTTGTTCATCATACAAAAAAGTTCTACCAATCCCAATCGGACAGATTAACCCACCAAATGAATGAATATTTCAGATCTTATCCAAATACACACAGCCAAGTCTTCTTAACGAAACTACAATTTATTGAGAAAGAGAGTTGGTTAAAATATCATTATCCAATTATACATATAGTCATGAATATAGTTCTTAGCAGAGACGGTGAGCTTTAGAGTTGCAAAGTCTTTCAGAATGAGTCTATAGGTTCAATATCTGGGTGTTCCAGAATGAAACTGGAGATTTCAATCTTGTGGCTCAAACTTCCCCTGACGAAGCACGAGAAGAATTAAGATGAAAGGATCAGGTCTCAAGAACCCTTTATGCATTTTCTAGGCAGCCTCTTAACCCAATAGTGTCTTTGAAGTAACTGATTTCCTAAATATCACCAGTAATTAGTGACATGGATTCACAGAAGGCAGTTTCCTATCTCACCATTTGCTGGTAATTTGCTATATACTTCAAAGAGAAATCAAAACAGTGATATGGCTACATTTACAGTTAATTTAAATATTAATATCTCCGTTTGATCTGTGAATTAAAATTATACAGTGACAGACAGGAACTCTTTGATTATATTGTTAACTTCTAACAATATATATAGAAACACACAAAACCACAAATCTTATCTACTAATATGTCTCTAAAAGTTGAATTTGGGTCAGTTAGCCTGCTAGTTGTGTAACCCTTTGTGGCCCTGTGTCACAGTTTAGCTGAATTGGTGCAAGCGTTGCACATTCAGCTCCTCTGAAATTGGACCAAAGGTCCGCAGATTGACTCATTGAACCAAATTGGTTTCTTCATAGGTTGTGTTCAGTCAGGGCCCAAAACATGTAAACTAGCCCTGAGTTTCTTTGTGGTGAACAAATTTCATCAGCCATTAACCCCCAGACTCAGGCTTAGTCTACTCATAAACATTTTTTCTTGCGGTGTTGTACTGCTTTCACTACAGTTTAAATGGCTCACATTTTTAGTGCCCTCAAGCACTAGGTAAGCCCATTGATATCAAACATAGCAGAGATAGGCCGAGGCTGAGCGCTCTTGAAAACCCCAAGTCATAAAAGAGAACTCATGTAAAAGTAGGGCTAGTTCAAATACAGACCCTGTTTTCTTAAAAAGTGAATTGTGTGTCTTTACAAACAATCCCATTGATTATGATCCTAGATCCAGAACAGAGTCCAGAAGTAGAGTTAAAAATGACTGAGCGGATGCACCAGGGGAATGCTTAGCAACTCCTGGAGTGGTGGGCATGTCCAGCTGTTGTTTGGCTGGATAGGGGATGGGAACATGACTCTTCCCTCCCCACACCACACTCTGCTTCCTATTGGCTCAGGGGGACTTGCAGTGCATCTCGCCAAGAGAGGTGTCAGAGCCAGGTGTTTCCCATAATAGCTGCTTCTGCCCACCATAGAGAGGGCACTGTTGCATCCTTCTTATTGATCTGTGCCTCCTACAGCCCTGGATTTACAGAGCTGTTGCCCAGAAAGTCTGCAAATGCTCCAAAGATGTGAGGAAAATGAGTCACTGAAATGAGTGACACGCATGAGGGAATAAAAGAACAACTGCAGGCAGAGGGTCGATAGAGAGATGATGTGAAGTATCATACTTTTGTTCTCGCAGGTAGCTTTGAAATCTGGTACAAATATATTATATTGGCGAACAACAGGGATTCTCATGGGATCTAAAGTGGTGAAACCTGTTCTGGTGAAAAACATCACAATTGAAGGTATGGAATACCATTAACTACGTCTATTGTACATTGCAATAATAATTGATGTTTTTTTCTTTTAAGGACAGATACTTTGTTTTGTGAGAAAACATTTGACATCATTGACACAGTAAACTCTTCTCTTCTTTCCTTCCTTCTTTCCTTCTGTCTGCCTTATTTAAAGTAATTATTCCATGCATCCTTTTTTTACTCTTCCAAATCTTTAGGACAGTGGTCTCCAACCTTTTTAACCACAAGATCACTTTTTCAATTTAAGTGCAATGTAAGATCTACCTCAAACCCAAATACCTTTGCCCCACTTCCTTCCCGCCCCTTCTTTGAGGCCCTGCTCCTCCTCCACCTGTTCTCCGAGGCCTCCCCCTGCTCACTCCTTTCCTCTTCCTCCCCCATCCTCACTCACTTGCACCAGGCGGGGGTAGGAGGTTGGGATGCAGGTTCTGGTCTTGGGCCAAGGGGTTTGGAGTGTGGAGGGGCTCAGGCTTTAGCCCAGGGTGGGGAACTGGGATCCAGGAGAGGCTTCAGGGTGCAAGCTCTGGGAAGGAGTTTGGGTGCAGGGGGACTCACGTCTGAGGCAGGAGTTTGGGTGTAGGAGGAGGTTCAGGGATGGGATAGGGATACAGGAAGCAGGGTCTGCCTGGGCACCATTTAACTGAGACAGCTTCCGGGTGGTGGAGCAGTGGGGTAAGGGCAGGCTTACTCCTGCCCTGGCCCTGCATCCCTCCTGAAAGCAGCTGGCATGTTCAGCAGTGGCTCCATTGCGCCATGTGCACTGAGCCCACAGCTTCTACTGGCCATGTTTCCCCATTACTGATCAATGGGAGGTGCAGGAGTGGTGTCTGCAGGCAAAGACAGCATGTGGAGACCCCCCTGCTCAGCCTCTCTCAGGGGCTGCAGGGACATGCCAGCCACTTCCAGGAGCAGCAGTTGCCATCGGGATAATGACTCCAGCCACAACAGGTTCGACATTTTAGAACTCACTACTCAAAGAATAAAATTTAAGCATAAGAGAGAAATGAAAATGATGAAATGCACAGACCAGTCAAAAACAAAAAATAGCACACTTTGCAAGCAGTAAAAGGAGTAAAAACAACCCCCCATGTATGTATTGGGTCAAGAGATGAGAGGGAAGGACAGTGGGTGTTTGTGAGAAAGACAGACACACACACACAGTGTGTGAGTGACAGATTTGCATTGCAAAGCTCCCTCCATCCACATCTCTCTGGCTATGTCTAGACTGCAAGCTTCTTTCGGAAGCGTCCACACTGCTGAAGTGCATCGAAAAAGTTATCTGCTTTTTTGGAAGAGAACATCCAGACTGAATGGATGCTATCTTGCAAGTAAGCTGTGATTACTATGGGTGGAATGGCCACAAGGGCACCTGTGCTTTTTCCTCTTTCTTCTTGCGAAAGAACTCCCTCTTTCCCATCCACACATGCCTTTTTCCAAATAGCTCTTTTGGAAAAAGGCTTCTTTCTCGTAGAAAGAGGTTTACCAATGTCGGAAAAACCCCTCTGTTCTTTTGATTTTCTTTCAAAAAGAACGTGATTGCAGTGTGGACGTAATTGAAGTTTTTTCGGAAAAATGGCTGTTTTTCCAAAAAAACTCTGTAGTGTAAACATGCCCTCTGTGTGGAGATAGGATACATGAGTGGGGGGAGGAGGGACAGCCTGATATCAGCATCCCCCTTTCTCTCTTCCATACCCTGCACAGCAAGTAGGAGGCTCCCAAGGGGGCAACTCAAAGGCAGCAGGACAGTGGATGGAAGGGCAACTGAAGTGCTAGTGCTTGATATCTTTTTGGCCAAACCAGTCAGGATCACTGTCAGAGGCTCCAGAATCTACCAGTAAATCTCAATCTACTGGTTGGTGACCACTGTTCTAGGAAACTATCCAGGCCAGGCCACTGTTGTCCTGAGAAATACGATGCATGGAATTAATTCGTAAATCCTGACACCTGCTGGGGAAGATTGGAAACTGCAAAAAGAAAAAAACTCCGGCAGTCTGCAACAGCACAGCATAGCAGGCCTTTATTACAGCTGGGCTTGTCTACACTTGGAAATGTGCCAAAATAACTCTTCCAGAATCAGAGTGAGGACTAACACTGAATAACTGTTACAGAATAATTATTCTAGAATAGTGCATTACATTATAAAACACTCAGGACTTTGGTATACTTGGGAATTTTACTGTAATATTCCAGAATAGCTATGTTGGTAAATGTCCAGGTATAGGTAGGCCCTTGGTTTCTTATAATATAATGCTCATCCATTCAAATTCTTGTTAAAGGGAATGGGAGTTTGGCCTGAGTGAGTACTGCAGTGCCAGTGTCTCCGCATACCCCAACTGGCTCAGACTAGCCACAATTGTTTGTGGCTATGTCTACACTGCGGGCTTCTTGCACAAGAACGACTGTTCTTGCACAAAAACTTGCAGAGCGTCCACACTAGAAGCCTGTTCTCGTGCAAGAATGTTTAGAGTAGATCATCAGAAGAGAGGGCTTTTTACGCAAGAATTCATAGAATCATAGGACTGGAAGGCACCTCGAGAGGTCATCGAGTCCAGCCCCCCGCCCTCAAGGCAGGACCAAGCTCCGTCTACACCATCCCTGACAGATGTCTATCTAACCTGTTCTTAAATATCTCCGGAGAGGGAGATTCCACCACCTCCCTTGGCAATTTATTCCAATATTTGACCACCCTGACAGTTAGGAATTTTTTCCTAATGTCCAATCTAAACCTCCCTTGCTGCACTTTAAGCCCATTACTCCTTGTCCTGTCCTCAGAAACCAAGAGGAACAAATTTTCTCCTTCCTCCTTGTGACACCCTTTTAGATATTTGAAAACCGCTATCATGTCCCCCCTTAATCTTCTTTTTTCCAAACTAAACAAGCCCAGTTCATGAAGCCTGGCTTCATAGGTCATGTTCTCAAGACCTTTAATCATTCTTGTCGCTCTTCTCTGCACCCTTTCCAATTTCTCCACATCTTTCTTGAAATGTGGCGCCCAGAACTGGACACAGTACTCCAGCTGAGGCCTAACTAGCGCAGATTAGAGCGGCAGAATGACTTCACGAGTTTTGCTTACAACACACCTGTTGATACAACCTAGAATCATATTTGCTTTTTTTGCAACAGCATCACACTGTTGACTCATATTCAACTTGTGGTCCACTATGACCCCTAGGTCCCTTTTCGCCATGCTCCTTCCTAGACAGTCGCTTCTCATCTTGTATGTATGGAACTGATTGTTCCTTCCTAAGTGGAGCACTTTGCATTTCTCTTTATTAAACTTCATCCTGTTTATCTCTGACCATTTCTCTAACTTGCTTAGGTCATTTTGAATTATGTCCCTATCCTCCAAAGAAGTCGCAACCCCACCCAGTTTGGTATCATCTGCAAACTTAATAAGCGTATTCTCTATCCCAATATCTACATCATTGATGAAGATATTGAACAGTACGGGCCCCAAAACAGACCCTTATTATTCCTCTCACCATGAGAAATAATCCTTTCGGTGCAAGAACTCTTGCACAAAAAGGCTAGTGTGGACAGGAACAGGGGTTTCATGCGCAAGAAACCCCTATGGCTAAAGTGGCCATCAGAGCTTTCTTGCACAAGAGAGCGTCCATGCTGCCATGGACACCCTTGCACAAAAGCACATCTCTTGCGCAGAAGTACATGGTAGTGTGTATGCGCTCTTGCGCAGGAACTCTTGTGCAAAAAGTTCTTGCACAAGAAGCCTGCAGTGTAGACATAGCCTGTGATTGTTCAGTGGTGTTATACCATTTCAGTTTCCCCCAAAACAACTGAGTATATGCAGTTGCTCTCTATTTTTGTGCCTAACCTGTGCTTTGCTTTACAGGAGTTGCATATACATCTGAATGTTTTCCATGCAAACCTGGTACATTCAGTGATAGACCTGGGTCTTCCAATTGCCAAGTGTGTCCCAGAAATACCTACTCAGAGAAAGGAGCTAAGGAATGCATCAGCTGCAGCGAAGAAACACATTATGCAGGTACAGGACATGAGCCAAAAAGAATACATGAATACATGAGTCTGCTTCAGTATTATCATCAGCTCTCCATACCTATGCATACAGAGAAGTTACTTTGTCCACAATTGAGATGTAGTCATAAGAGATTGGGACACAAAACAAAATTAATATGGTGACCATCTGACATTGCAGAGGGAATTTATGCTGGCAATTTATAATGGCTCCCACTGGAATGTGGTCAGAATTTATAATTCTCATGCTCTTAACAGCATGAAATCTACAATGGCCCTGGTTTTAGATTGCCTCTAAATGATGGCATCAGTAGTGTGGTAACCACTGGTTCAGTACTTATTACTGACAGCTCCCCACTGCTTTCTTGCACACTCAAGTTTTTCCTGGAGGTCTCTCATCCAACAGTCACCTGGTTCACCTCTTTTTGTGTTGGGAGATTTGACAGAATCAGAGCACATGGTGGATTGGCTGCAGATTGGTCATGTGATAGCCTTTGGGGCTCCTCTGTGTCCCTACCATGGGAGCAACTAGACACTAACAAGTACAATTGACTAAATTCATCCACGACAGAGCTTCATTGGACTTAAGCACAGGTTTAACTGCAGGCACGTGTGTAGTCCCTGTGGGCAGTCCCTATGGGCCTACTCTTGTCCTTGGAGTTAAGCATGTGGTAAGTACTTTTCTTACTCAGGGCCTCAGAGTGGTGCACCCACTGATCAGTCTCCTCCATGACCACTTCAGAGTGGGAGAGGGGAGATTATGCAGCTGGGATTATGTTTTCTGGCGAATTTGAAGGTGGAGAGAGTAGGCAGGTGTTACTTGTGGTGGAATAAAACTGGTCCAATTATGGATTACTTTTAAGACTTAACCAGAGTTGCCTGAGTCCAGACTGGGACTGGGGGAGGGGGATCCGACTTGAGGCAGTGGAGGGGCATTGGGCTGGGGCTGGGGTGGGGTCATGGAGGCCTCCCAGTGGTGCTCCCCGAGTCTGGCTTGGGGGCAGAAGGGGCAGGGTGGAATGAAGGCCTCCCGCCTGGGGTGGAGTGCAGGGGGCATGGAGGCCTCCCAGTGGTGCTCCTCAGGCCTAGGCCCACAGGTGGAGGGGGGGTGGGGTAGGGTTCAGGTTAGCCCCAGTGGTGCTCCCTGGGCCTGAGAGAGAGGGGGCCTGTGTGGCCATGCAGGGCGACCTGGTGGTACTGAGGAGGGCTGCCTGTGGGTCCTGCGGGGGTGGGGTGGGGCTGGGGCTGAGCTTCCCGGCCCCAGTGGTGTTTGGGGGGGCGGGGACATGAGGCTGCAGCAGTGGGGCTGGCAGGGCTTCCCCCCACTCAGTCCGATGCTGCGGCTGAGTGCCATGGGGAGGGGTTTGGCCTGGGGGGACGCTTTCCTGGGCCAGCAAGATGATGCACCCCACCTCCAGCAGCCCCTCCCTTCCTGGTGTGGCTGCCCCCATTGGCCACTCTGCAGTATAGCTGTCCTTCACCCTCGCTGTCCTCAATGGTGACTGCAATATCTTCTCCCTTCAATCAACTCCCCCCTTTTCCATGTTATGGAAAACAATCAAATTCCAGGCACATTCTGTTTTCCTGCCACAACCAACCCTGGACCTTGCTTTAATATAGGAGTAGAGGAAGCTGCATATCAAATTTGGTCATCCTAGCTGTTACTGTTTAGGAGCTCTTGAATAAATGGACTTGCAGACAGATAGATGGACTCACAGCCAGATGCTTCTAATATATATATTTTCTGTGCCAATTTCTGCCTGGGATTCTGGGGTAGAATCAGGCAAGGGGTTTGTCATGTGTATATATGAAGGAAGGGATGTCAGGAAGTCCCCCATTCCAGCCCCTGAGCTGAGGTGGGACCAAATATACCAAAGCCCCATGCTTGTGGGAGCCTTGTGGCAGCTCCCGCAGCCATCTTATGGATGGGAGAGACTTGGGAGGATTACGGGGTCCTGGCGTGGGACCACAGCAGGATTCAGCCCCTGCTTTCATCATGTGGGCAGCGGGAGCTGAAGCAGCCTGACAGTTGCCAGTCTGCTCCACCCCACCATGCCACCCTCTTGGCCCGCTGTGCTCAGCTTCGCAGCAGCATGAATCAGAGAGTCCCAGCCCCAAAGTGCTCCTCTCACTGCTGCTGCAGAGAAGTATAAGAACATAAGAACGGCCGTACTGGGTCAGATCAAAGGTCCATCTAGCCCAGTATCCTGTCTACCGACAGTGGCCAGCACCAGGTGCCCCAGAGAGGGTGGACCGAAGACAATGATCAAGCGATTTGTCTCCTGCCATCCCTCTCCAGCCTCTGACAGACAGAGGCCAAGGACACCATTTTATCCCCTGGCTAATAGCCTTTTATGGACCTAACCTCCATGAAATTATCTAGCTTCTCTTTAAACTCTATTATAGTCCTAGCCTTCACAGCCTCCTCTGGCAAGGAGTTCCACAGGTTGACTACACGCTGTGTGAAGAAGAACTTTCTTTTATTCGTTTTAAACCTGCTCCCCATTAATTTCATTTGGTGTCCTCTAGTTCTTCTGTTTAGGGAACTAATAAATAACTTTTCTTTATCAGCCCTCTCCACACCACTCATGATTTTATAGACCTCTATCATATCCCCCCTCAGTCTCCTCTTTTCTAAACTGAAAAGTCCCAGTCGCTTTAACCTCTCCTCATATGGGACCCGTTCCAAACCCCTAATCATTTTAGTTGCCCTTTTCTGAACCCTTTCCAAGGCCAAAATATCTTTTTTGAGGTGAGGAGACCACATCTGTACACAGTATTCAAGATGTGGGCATACCATAGGAGCAGCGGGCCAGGAGAGGGCAGTGGAGGAGGCTGCTGGGTGAGTGGGGATGGGGTGGTGCCTGTTGCTGCCATGCCAGGCCCCCTGTAATCTCCTGGTCTGCATTGCTCAGGGGCAAGGTGGTGGAGGGGAAGCAGAGGAGGGGTAGAGCTTGGAGAAGGGGCAGAGCAGGGGCAGGGTGGGGACTCTGGCAGGTGGGGGTTGCCCCAGGCCTCACACACTCCTTGGGACGATCATGCCCTAGACCATCCCTGACAGGTGTTTGTCTCACCTGTTCTTAAAAATCTTCAATGATGGGGTTTCCACAATCTTCCTTGGAAGTGTGTTCCAGAGATTAACAACCCTGAGAATTAGACAGTTTTCCCCTAATATCTAACCTGAGTCTCCATTGCTACAGATTAATCCCATTTCTCATCATTTTACCTTCAGTGGTCTTGGAGAACAGTCAGTCATCCTCCCCTTTATAACAGTCCTTCACTAGCTGAAGATTGGTGTCTGGTTTCCATCCACCCCAATGCTTTTTTCTCATGGTTAAAGATGCCCGTTATTTTTAACCTTTCCTCACAGGTCAGGTTGTCTAAACTTTGTCTCATTTTTGTTGCTCTTCTCTGGATTCTCCAATTTGTCCATATTTTTCCTTATGTGTGGCACTTGGAACTGAACACAGAACTCCAGCTGCGGCCTCATACGCGTGGGCATATGAGAAATGATAGCGAGCGCGGGGATAGCTAGTATGGAAGAGAAGTCAGATTGTTTGTTTGTTGAATAGACTGTGATAAGTAGCATATTTGGGGCATGTACGCACACAATACTGTGATGCTATCCCACATACTGCCCCTTTGTGCTGTTGCTCTAGCAGGGAAGTGAGCATCTACAGTTCTTTTTCTTATAGGTAAACGTTTTGTATAAAGAACTGATTACCTGCCAGAAAGCTCTGCTATCAGTTTAACTGCTCATGTTAATACGGACACCGATTAGGGAGCTGTGCCTGCTCCCATTGACATTAAGGGGAATTTTGCAATTGACTTCAATGGGAACGCATTCTGGCCCCAGCACAGTGAAATGTTTCAGAAGGGACAGAGAAGTCATTTTTCATTTCTTGCCAGATAAGGACTCGATTACAATGCTTGCATGGCCGATGCAAATTGGGGTTTCACTTTTATCATGGAGAAAAGGGCTTAGGTGCTTGCCTGACTGTACAGATGCCAGCGCAGAGCATCAGACAGTACAATAATGGCTGAGCTTGTCACAAAGGAACACATTAGATTTCAATGGGACTGGAGTGTTTGGTTCTTTTAGGCTCCTTCAAAAATTCCAGTTAATGTAGTTTTGTTCCCGAATTAGCATTTGTCCTGTCTCATCTTGGAGTCTGGCAGGATACCTCCATTTTTGGCCCCTTGGAAATCATTTACCACTCTGTTCCTCCTCTTCTCTTTTCAGATGAAGGATCCAGTCAATGTACAGAGCGTCCTCCTTGTACGAACAAAGACTTTTTCCAGATCCACACACTGTGCGATAGGGAAGGAAAGGTAAGTCAAGTGATCACTCAGTTTCATATTATTCACTAGTTTGTGGAGTCATTTGAGATCCTAATGACCTGAGCACAGGAGAGGGAGCCAGGAATTTCTGAATTCTTATCCTGTGTCAAGTACTGATTCAGTGGCCTCGGGCAAGTCCCTTAACCACACCCTCTATCAACTCATCCATCTGTAAATGCTCGTCACTCTTCGGTTTTTCTAAGATCTCTAGCACCATGGTATGGAAGATCCTAATCTTGTAAACACTTGCATGTGTGATCAGTCTGACTAGGTCATTAGGATGACTCATGAGTGTATGTGTTTGCAGCATCAGGGCTTTGATGGAAATGACACATATGTGCCTCACTGGAGCATCTTGAGGATTCATTCACTAGGATTAGACCTGGGATGGCCAACCAGTTAGAGACTAAGAGCCAAAATAACTGTGGATAGAGCACAAAGAGCTATCTCTCTCTCTCTCTCTCTCATATATATCACACCACACAAAATGTAGTGATAAAAATAAGTAATAACAATTACAGGACATTTCAGACAAAAACCAATAAAAAAGTCTCTAGTCATTTAAAAAATTCATAGCCAGTCCATAGATCTTCAGAGAACTTGACAAGGAACAAATATCAAATAAAAAAAAATGCTTTGAAAATACAGTAATATTCTCACTCTAAAAATAAGCATCCCCACCATATATTTTAAATGTCACACTATTGCCCTATTATGGCCTGTGAGTTTTTTTAAATTAAACTGAACTGAGAAGTAAATTAGCACAATTTGAAGTGCCTGTTTCACTCCAGCTTGTTGATCTCTGGTATGGTTTCCTCGTTTGTTTTTTTTTTTTTTACTTATGAAGATTATGGCTTTTTTATAGTTCTAAAAATTCAGGTCTGTCCCAGACTGCAAATATGACAGGTTCAAAAACAATAAAGGAGAGACTCATCTCAGAATAATTGCTTCATCCTGGCAAACAATTGCCTTTGAATTTTCCTTAAAGAAACACAGTGTAAACCAGGTAGATGCTGATTCTTTTTTTTGCTTTGGAATTGAAATATGACATCTACGTTGGCTGCCTTATTCTGCATCCATGAAGATTTTGAGTTTAAGGTGCTGTAACCCAATGCACACAGCCCTCCCCAAGAGCCAGGTACCCCCAGCCTCCCTGCTCTAACCCAATGCCTGGGTCTCACCAGAGCTGCTGCAGCCATGCACTTCTCCCTCCAGGCGCTGGGGTATGTGCGCAGAGCGGCCGTGAGCAGTCACGGGCGTGTGGCTCCAAACAAGCAAGAGCAGCATTTCTTTGAGCAAAGGGCTGCATGTGGCTTGAGAGCCGCAGGTTGGCCACCCCTGGACTAGACAGTGTAAACCAAGGGCGGCCAGATTTATTAGAGAATGAGCTGCATTTGGAATGTGCCGGTTTTGTGGCTCTACTCTCGTTCCCCTCCCCCGTAGTCTCATGGGAACTCCTTGGCCAAAGCTCTGTGGGACTGTAGATTGGATTTAGAGGTTGAAGCAGCTGTTCCTTACAGCACTTCCCACCATAGCTCCTGTATGGTCTGGGAGTTGATCCTTCAGAACTACATTGCCAAACCCTAGATGCTTTGACTCCAAGTGAGTCTCACCCACTTTAGATCTGAGAAGAGGGGGAGGGGAACAAGGGTAGCAAGGTATCTGCCTCAGCAAGTCATCAAAATCTATTTAATTGATACCCAGCTGGAGCTACACCTGCTAAAAAGATGGAGCCTTTCAGCTTACGGTTGGCTGCTGATTATTCCTCTCTTTGTAGTGTCACCTGCTTTAGCAAAAGTCCTATTGGAACATTCAGTTTCAGAACCTGGCAGCATGCGTAACCTTGACTCATCACACACACGCTTCAAGCTGCATGATACTCTGCAACCTCTTTCTAATGACTCGGCAAATTAATCACCTTTACCACTGCACCCCACAGTAGCAGGCTGTAATTGCAGTCTCTGGCAGCTTTTGCTATCATTGATCTGTGAAATTCAAGTCCCTTCTCAAGACTCACTTGCTTTGATTAGCCTACCAACGCTGAGATCCAGTCCACCACTTCTGCCCTCTTGGGCTATGTCTAGACAGTGGCACTATTTCAAGATCCTGGAAATATCCCAAAATAGCAATTCTGTGTCTTTAAACACCCCCGTTATTTCAAAATATATTTCAAAATGACAGGTGTACTATTCCGGCATCCCTGTAATCCTTATTCCATGATGGTTAAGGGACTTGTTGGAATAGCACTTTATTTTGAAATTACCTCCAAATAAGCTATGCAATTTGCATAATGCAAATTGCATAGCTTATTTTGAGATAAGGGTACTGTGTAGATACACCTTTCGTGACCTTTTTCTAAAACTACTATCAAATGAACTCATCACAACTATATTTCAGAGTATAGAGCAATATAAACATGTCATTATCTATATGAAATTTTATATTGTATTGACTTTTTGGTATTTCTTTTTATGTAGCCTGTTTTAAAACTCGGCAAATATCTAGATGAGTAGATGTACCCCTTGGAAGACTTCTGCATGCCCCCAAGAGTATGCATACCCTTGGTTGAGAAGTAATGCCCTAAGGGACTGTTCCAAAGCCTATTGAAGTTAATGGAAGTCTGTCCATGAGCTTGAGGTTTTCAAAGGGTCCTGAGGGATTTAGACACCCGATTCCCATTGGATTTCATTGACTGTCTCCTGTGAAAATCCCAAACTGATTGGCTAAGCTCATATGTACATTGGAGATCAATGGGATTACTTGTGGGTGTAAAATTTACTTAATTTCTTGGAGTCTTTAGAATGTAAGCGCTCAATGGAGTGACCCATCTTGGGAGACAGCTCTGCCTAGTGGCTAGAGCCCTTCAGTGGTGCTCTGGAGATCTGAGTTCTATTCTTGGATCTGCTAGTGGCTTGCTTCATGACCTTGGACAAATCATTTTGCCTTGGTTTCCCCATTAACAAAATGGGGCTAATGATACATTTTGATATCTACAGATGGAAAACACTATATGTGAGCTAGTAGTAGTAGTAGTAATGTTTTATTTTAATGGCATGCACACCTGCTACAGATAGAACTATATGCTGGCAAGGCCATGTCAACTGCACTGCAGCTTAGAACACTAAAAGGGCTGCATATTTACCTTGGATTTTCCCTGTCACTACGTGGCAGTTGTCTTCTATTGTGGCAGTTGTCTCCAGAAAGGCAAAGAGAGACATACATGCTGTCAGTGGCTTACCATTAAAAACATTGTCAAATTGGATCCTATGTATATTTTTCCACTTTGGAACATAGCTGGTTTTCTGATATTAAGTTATTAAATCATTATGGGTCTAATCCAATGCCTAATCCATTAATTTTCAAACTGTGGGGCACCCATCCCGCCTTCTTGGGGCAGCCACAAAAAGGTTAATGGGTCGGGGTGGCAAAGACTTGACCATGTAAGAATTTTTTCTGTTTCTTTAGTAATGAGGATACGTCTCATTACCTGAGTCTCCTGCTTCAACTCCAGCCAGGCTGGAAGAACTAAAAGGAAAAAAGCAGCAGAGGAAGAGGAGAGATCAGGAAGAGAGGGAGGGAAAAGAAATGGTGAGAAGGGGAATGAGAAAAGAACAACTTAGGAAGAAAAGAAAACTTAAGTAAAAAAAAAAAAAAAAAAAAAAAAAAAAAGCCGACCTCAACTACTAATCTAAAATTAGGGCTCTGTTGGCCAAAGCATCTGGGAACCCCAAACCCTAGCCCAGCTCAGAGAGGCAAGTGGGACTTGCTGTCACATCTATTGGGGTGAGTCTAGGGGTGCTGGCTATCCTTTCCAGCCATCCCAAGGCTATGCTCTTCTAGTGACCATATGGGAACTTCTGAGAAGAGTCCAAGGGGACCACTGCTCTCATTCTCATAATGAGTAACCATCCAGCTCGGACTCACGTCTCTCCACCCTTTTTAGGCTACGACTGCCACGAATTGCAATCAGTAGTCCTGTCTGCTCTCCCATCATGGCTCTGAGAGCACAACTTTATCTCTTGCATTCCCCGGGATCAGCCTGAGCTCTACTATGGCACTCCTGTAGTAAGACTCTTAACAGCAGATTAATTCCCAGTCTGAATAACAGTCTCCTCCCATGACTACCTTGTATTCACTTAACATGTGAGTCCAAAATGTTCTGATTGGTTCTCATTTTTCATGTCTGTGCCCCACCAAAAACACTCGGCTCCTTCAGATGAATGTTAATTATGAGCTTTGTTTGAATCCTAATACTGCTTCATGTAACATGTGACTCTCATACTTTTCCATTTCAGACTCAGATAATGTACAAATGGATAGAGCCTAAAATCTGCAGAGAGGATCTTCCTGATGCATTGAAACTGCCTCCTTCTGGAGAGAAGAAGGATTGTCCGCCATGCAACCCTGGGTTTTACAACAACGGATCATCTTCCTGTGCTCCTTGCCCTCAGGGCATGTATTCAGATGGAAAACAGGGTATGAGAACATGCCTTTTCAGTAACTCATGGCAGTCAGTCACCCACAGACTTTGCTTGTTTTTCTGGGGGCTGTCATGTGTTTGTGTGTTGCCTACATTTTTTTCACATGTCCCTGTAAGTCAGTGTTCTGGTCCATAAAATAACTATTGGTTAAATGAGACTGGAGCAGGATTTGGGAGGGAGGGAGAGATGAAGAACTGAAGTGTCCCAGTTAATCCCCAAAATGCTTTGTTTTAATTATTTGCTGCCGTTATTTAACATGATGACTCCTGGATATGTCTGTTGGCTGGTATGAACATATTAAAAGTCTTAAAGCGCTGTGTTAGATATTCACTTACTGCGTGTCATTTTCTTGTCTTGCCTTTCTCTTCCTGTAGAATGTAAGCCCTGCCCTGCTGGGACTGAACCGGCTCTTGGCTTTGAATATAAATGGTGGAATGTTCTGCCGGCCAATATGAAGACTTCTTGTTTCAATGTTGGCAATTCACGGTGTGATGGAATGAATGGTAAGCCAGCCTTTCTATCTCATTACTTGCCTGCCTTTCATGGATGCTGCTCACCACATTTGAATGTCTATCCTAGGGAATATATTTGCTTTATGCAGTTCATCCCAACTTGCAGCTTTTCTTCCTTTCACTGTGCAAGGATTAGATAACTCTACCAGATGTAAAGCTTGCTGAATAACAGAAAAGAAGAAATACACATCTGCAACTAGTGTAACCTTTTTGGCTCCATTGACTTCCCTGGAGCTACACCAATTTATACCAGATGAAGATTTGTCTCATAGTACACTGTTAGGCATCTAGAAGTCTATCTTAGAAAAAACAATCTGTCGTCTGAGTTCTCTTTTGGTTCTCTCCATGTGTGCCTTCCCTAATGCCTCATGATCACTATAAAAAACCTACAACATACAATCTAATAGAACCTTAAAGGCTAACAAAACATGTAAATCTATATGTTTTGTTAGTCTTTAAGGTGCTACCAGACTATTTGTTGTTTTTTAAGTTTTCCTGTTATAGACTAACTTGGCTCCCCCTCTGAAGCTTTTGAACATGATCACTATGATGTTCAAGGACATTTTATTATCATTTTTTAAAACAAACCAAGTTTTCAATCTTTGTGTCAAGCCAATCTAATGCCCTACATGTGCACTGAGATGGCAGCAGAGAGATGTCACAGAATACCTTGAAAATATTCCTGTTAAAAAATTTCCCAGTCCATCCTTCTGCTAGTGCTGTGAAGAATTTTTCCTGTTCTGTTCTGTGTAAGACCCTGGTGAACAATTGCTTTCTATTTTACACCGTCAGACTTCTAGGATGATGTAAGTCAGGTCTTGAGTCAGCAAAGCATAGAAAGAAGCACATGCTTAACTTAAAAAAAAGGTCGCGGAGGGGGGGAAAAGCGTTGGGGGGGAGTTATTGAGAAAAAAGGGTCAGGGGAAAGTTATTGAGGAAAAAAAAAAGTCACCTGCCCCTTTAAGGGCTGCCATTTTGAATTCTGTTGTTCTCCACGGCACACTGATATGCCGTGGAACACAGTTTAAGAAACACTGATCTAGATAGATCTTTTGTATTACAGTTCATAGAATTTCATTTGGTTTGCTAAATCATGACTTTAGACTGATATTTACATCTTAAATTGACAATAGCTAACTTCCAGAAATTGCAGGAGGATGATAGACATTAGCTTTCACCACTCAAAAAAAGAGATCTTGGAATCAACATGGATTGTTCTCTGAAAACATCTGCTCAATCTGCAGTGGCAATCAACAAACCAAATGAATATTAGGAACCAGTAAGAAAGGGATATAGACAGAAAATACCATAATCTGCACCCTTCCACACCATGAAATTTGAATGCATTTTTGGTTACTCCAGTTCCAAGACAATAGACAGTAGAACCTCAGAGTTAAAACACCAGAGTTATGAACTGACCGGTCAACCAAACACCACATTTGGAATCGGAAGTACGCAATCAGGTAGCAATCCAGTACTGTGTTAAACATGACCTACTAAATATCTAAGAGAAAGATAAAAGAAAGAGTTGACAAGGTAAAGAAATTGCTTCACTGCTTGTTTAAATTAAGATGGTTAAAAGCGGCAATTTTCTTCTGATCGTAAAGTTTCAAAGCTGCATTAAGTCATTGTTCAGATAGTAGGCAGTGGGTGAAGTTGCTGCTTGAGGAGTCAAACTGCTCCCCTGCCAGTGGCCCCATCCAAACTCCACACCTGCACCATTCCAGACCTGCCCCACTCTGCCCACGCCCTGCCCTCTTCCCCACTGTCTCCCTTTGTTCTTCCCTTCCTCTCCCCGCTCAGTCCCTCCCAGCCAAATCCTTGAATGCAAATGTAATACAGTAAACTTCCGATAATCCGGCACCTTTAGGACCCAGGGGGTGCCGGATTATCAGATATGCCGGACTATAGGAAGGGGGGGCTATGAAGAGTCTGGAGTGGAGTGGGGGGGGAGGATGCGCCCCTCAGCGCGGCGGGACCAACCTGGCAGCACCCCAACTGCTCTGCCCCAGGCGTCCCCAAGTCAGCCGCTGACTACAGGAAGCCTGGGGCAGAGCGTGCTGTGCCCCGGGCTTCCCGGAGTCAGCCACTGGTCAGTTTCAGCAGCGGCTGAATCGGAGAAGCTGGGGGCAGAGCAGCTCTAATTGTCCGGCTGCCCGGAGCACTTCCGGGTTCCAGATGGTGCCGGACTATCAGGAGCGCTGGACCATTGGATTCCGGACCACTGGAGTTTTATTGTAAATGGTATTTGAAAAACCCCCACTCTTCTAAAATTTCTTTCTAAAGAAAATTGTGGGAGCCTTCAGGAAGACTGAATAGGGATAGGAAGAGGTGAGAGGTTGGGCCTTTCCTTGCATCTTATAACTGCCACCATTGATTTAATCCTAACCTTTTGAAAAAACAACACAATGTTCTATTCAGAGTTACAAACATTTTAGAGTTCCCAACAGCCCCCATTCCTTAGGTGTTTGTAACTCAGAGGTTCTACTGTATTAGTACTGGAAAAGTTACAGAGAAAGACAACACAACTGATTGCAGCTATGAAAGTTGTTCCATCCAAGGACTTATTTAAAAAGTTTGGGACTGGTCAGCTTAGAAAAGAGACAACAAAGGGTATGTCTACACTACTACCCTAGTTTGAACTAGGGTGGTAATGTAGGCAACCGGAGTTGCAAATGAAGCCCAGGAAGGAGTAACAGTAGTTCGGAATAGGAAGCCTAGTCAGAACTACCTAGTCCGTGCCACGTGTAGCTGCGCGGCACGGAGTCTGCACTAGCGGACATTTAAAAATGGCGGCGCCCGGCTATATGCAAATGAAGCCCGGGAAATTCAAATCCCGGGCTTCATTTGCAACTCCGGTTGCCTACATTACCACCCTAGTTCAAACTAGGGTAGTAGTGTAGGATAGGGATCTATAGAATTGTGAATGTTATGGAGAATGTGAACAGGGAATTGTTATTTAACCTTTTATGTAACATAAGAACCAGGGGTTTACCCAGTAAAGTTAATAGGCTGCAGATTTTTAAAAAAATGTTAGGAAGTACTTCTTCATACAACACACAGTCCACCAGTGGAATTTGTTGCCAGGGGAAATTGTAAAGGCCAAAATACAAGTGATTCAAAAAAAGAATTAATTAATTTCATGTATAAGAGTTCCATCAAAGGCTATTAGCCAAGAGGTCAGGAATGCATGCCCATACTCTAGGTATCCCTTAACTTCTGACTGTCAAAAGCTGAAACTGGACAACAGGAATTGGATCATTGGATAATTGACCTGTTCTGTCCATTCCCCTGAAGTGTCTGGCACTGGCCACTGCTGGAAGACAGGATATTGGGCTAGATGGACCATTGGACTGACCCAGCATGGTCTGTGTTAAGTTAGGCATTAGCTGTTCCTTATTTTCTTTCTTTTAAAACAGTTGATTAGGATTTTACAATTTCTTCTAAAGATTTGTTTTAAATAATGTATTTAATACATAATTTTCAAAAGTACTTTATATAGCGAGACTTGAAAATTTAAATGCACTGTTTCTTGTAAAAAAAAATGGATTTTTCCCTTTGCAGGTTGGGAAGTGGCAGGTGATCACATCCGGAGTGGGGCAGGAGGCTCTGACAATGATTATCTTATCCTGAACCTGCACATCCCAGGGTTTAAGTAAGAAACCTAGTTTCTTTGTCAGCTTTTCTTCTATTCTCCTCTCTTCTCTGTTTCATATTGGCTTATGCTTGGAATGCAATGGAACGAAAGTTATAGTGGTTGAGTCTACACTAGGAGCGCTGCTGTGTTGTTGTAGTGCATCTGGTGTAGACACTTTACACTGCCAGGAGAGAGCTCTTCCATCAGCGTAATAAATCTACCTCCGCGAAAGGCAGACGTTTGATCAGTGGGCAGAGCTCTCCCGTCAACATAGCGCTGTCCACAGCGGCACTTAGGCTGGTGTATCTTATTCATACCCTTGTGTGATACAAGTTACACAGGTGTAAGCAGTAGTGTCGACCAAGCCTGATTTTCCAGTACTAGATCATGCATAAGTAATTCATTATCTAGTATTTTATTGTGGTTGGGACTGTCGGCGACATGATGAATCTGCAATCAGGCTTCTTCTTACAACTGCAGGGAGTGAAATCATTGCGTGTGAAAGCAGGGTCAGGGCCTTGGCCAATGACAAAGGGCCATATTGTTCTCTCAGTTAGACTGGAACAAATCAGGTTCAAGTCCACTGAAGTCAAACCAGTGAGACCTGAATCAGGCTGTAGGCTGTGACCCTGTAGAGCAGGGGTGGGCAATAATTTTTGCCCGAGGGTCACTTCAAAAAATGTTGAAGTGGCTCTGGGCCACCCTGGAAGGGGCAGGGCCTAAACAGGAAGGGGTGGGGCTACCCTACCCCCAGACCATGATTGGTCTGGGGGTGGGGAAGCCCCTTTGCTCCTCTTCCCACTAGGCACCCATGCCCTGGAAGAGGCTTGGCACACTCCCCCACTCCCAGGCCAGTCAGAACTTGGGGGAGGGGGAGTGTGGGAAACCTCCTCCCACCCTGACAGGAGCATGTGGCATTTAGAAGTGCCGCAAGCTCTTCGCAGGGCCAGGGCAGGGCGCAGGAAGTTTCATGCAGCTCCCCCGCCCCAGGCTCTTCGCAGGGCCAGGGCAGGGCGAAGGAAGTTTCATGCAGCTCCCCCGCCCCCAGACCCTGATTGGCCTGGGGGCAGGGAGCGCACAAAGCCTCCTCCGCTCTCCCTCCGCCCTGCGAGCAGTGTGCGGTGCTTCAAAGAGCCACATGCTCCTGGCAGGGCGGAAGGAGGCTTCGCACACTCCCCTACCCCCAGGCCCTAATTGGCCTCGGGGCGCGGGAGCAGCAGGGCCTCCACCGGCTGGATCCAGCCCACGGGGGCCCTTTTGCCCACCCCTGCTGTAGAGCTTACTTATGTAAGCAGTCCTGCAGAAGTCAGCGGTGTGGTGTATTCCTTTACACAACAGGTAGCCATATGGCTAACTTCTATTTTAGATTAAGGAAGGACAACCAACAAGTAAGGCAAAAGAAAAGGATTATAGTGTCTCTGAGTGCATGTGTCCCCTCTCTGATGTGCTCTATTAGCTCTGCTTCACTAGGGTCTGGGTTTCACAAGAAGAAAGGTGGACTACAATTCCCAGCAACCTCCTCCCTACCATACATCCCCTTTCTCCTGGCTCTGCAGGGATTGTGTTTCCCATCAGCATCCTCCCCATGCACTTTCCCTTTCCCCGGCCAGGTAAAGGGGAGAGTCCGAAACCCAAAATGGGAATTGGCCAGTCTTTTTGGAGGTGGGAGTCACATAACAGCAGGGAACTGGAGGGAGACACTGGGAATTGTGGAGAGAGATGCATGTGGGACAGAGTATGGCTGCCAGAGCTCCCAGCTGGATGCACGCCTGTATGGGAATTATGGGGTAACAGTACCTGGGCAGGAAGTCCGTGCAAAGAAGCCCAATGAGAGATGCTAACTGAGCCTGTTTGGAAACCTGCAAATGCTTTTTTTGCTTGAATAGCAACTGGGCTGGAGAGAACATGCCAGGCATTAGGCATGACATTTGACTGGACTTCCCCAGAGATCCAGACAGGTAGAACTGTATGTTCATTATGGGAAATAAGTAAATAAAAATCACCCTATGCATTGAATTAGTGATACCAATACAAAACTCAGTTACATTAGGATAGGTTTCATAACTGATGGCTAGTTGTCCTTATACAACCTGGCTATGTCTACACTACAGAGTATTTTGGAAAAACTATCATTTTTCCGGAAAAACTTCACTTATGTCCTATCGTTTTTCCGGAAAAACTTCACTTATGTCCACACTGCAATTGTGTTCTTTTGAAAAAAAATTGAAAAAACAGAAGGTTTTTTTCCGACACTAGTAAATCTCTTTCTATGAGGAAGAAACCTTTTTGAGAAAGAGGTCTTTTGGAAAAAAGCGTGTGTGGACTGGGAAAAGGGAGTTCTTTCAAAAGAAGAGGAAAGAGGAAAAAGCACAGGTGCCCTGGTGGCCACTCTGTCCATAGTAATCACAGCTGAAATGCGAGATAGTATCCATTCAGTGCAGGTGCTATCTTTCGAAAACGCAGATTGTTTTTTCAATGCGCTTTGGCAGTGTGGATGCGCTTTTTCGGAAGAAGTTTTTTCGGAAGATCTCTTCTGGAAAAGCTTCTTCCAAAAGAAGCCTGCAGTCTAGATGTAGCCCCTGTGACATATTTCATTTCCTCTCTGTTAAACAGACCTCCAACATCTGTGACAGGGGCAACTGGGTCAGAACTAGGACGGATTACTTTTATTTTTGAGACCATCTGTTCAGCAGATTGCGTGATGTACTTTATGGTGGTAAGTGAGACCTCTCCCCCTGTGACAGAGGGATAGGAGCTTGGTATTCCACATACCTCTTTAATAGTTGTATATGGACATGAATTAGCCGTGCTAGGTGTATTACGACTAAGATTAAATGTGGCATTCGTTTATACCTGCAATGCCCTGCAGGGATATTTAATTGATAATCTAGCAGGTCTTCTCCGTCACTCATGGTAATGAGCCTGTTCTTTTCCGTTACCAGATTATTTTAAAAGAAAATGAGAAAGGACTAAACTGAATCATTCAAGCCATTGGCAAACTCCCACTGACTTCAATATGATTAAGGGTTTGGTCCCTAAAGTATAATACTAGCGTGGTTCAGGTTACAAGGCATGGGATTTGGACTCAGAAAAGTTGGGTTCTATTCCTGATTCTGCCATTCACTCACTGTGTAACTTGGAGGAGTCACTAAGTAAGGTCTTATAGCTATTCCTGTATTGCACTGACATTTAGTATTATTCCACGATACTGTTTTTAATTTTACTGTGTACATTTTTAGGATATTAATAGGAAAAACACGAATGTGGTGGAATCCTGGGGCAGGACAAAGGAGAAACAGTCTTACACTCACATTATCTCCAAAAATGCTTCCTTCACATTCACATGGGCCTTCCAGAGGACAAACCAGGGCCAAGATGTAAGTATTTGATGCTTGCTTTAAGTACAAAATTTAACAAAATAGCCTCCTCTTGACATTTGCTCAAAGTACCCAGAGTTCCTACCCCACTCCACCCTGTTTCTCTGTTCATAATCTAGAGAAAACTGGTAGATAGTAGACCTCCTGTCCGTCTTAACTTCCAGATTCTGCCATCTAGATCTGTGGCTGTGAATATATTGGACTTCCAATAGTGGTTGAATAGGAAGATGGAAAGTACATGGGTCAAAAGGAAGAAATGACATAGAAAAATTGTGTAAATTCCTAAAAGCAAAAGATCTTGGGCTATATCCAAACAGGTTAATGATCCAATTGATCTCCCATTATTGGAAAGGATGTCCCTCATTTCAGACCCAAATTTGCTTCCGTCTGATACAAATTAGGTGTAGTCTTGCCCTAGTAGTATTAGAGAGTGACATGAAATGTGCTGAATTGGGACCCCAAAGAAAGAGAAAATGTTATAGATATTAAGGGAACGAATCCCACTGCATAAACTTCCTGTGCTTGCACTTCTGTGTTGTCCATCCTGTTATGTCTTTCTCAGCACCCTGCATATGGGCCATGATTCAGCAAGGTACATGCCTAAGTAGGGATGTAAACAAGTAGTCAAGTATACAATTAACCGATAAACCAAGGCTTATTGGTTAATCTTCTCAACTACTCACATTCCCCTCCCCTTGCTGTATCAGAGGCAACAAATGGGGAGGGAAGCAGGAGCCGGCATAAGAGCCAGCTCCCCCCAGCACCAGCTCTGCAGTGCTGCCTGCCTCCCTCCCTCCTCGCCATGCTGCTGCAGGGGTGGGGGGCGGGGGCAGGGAAGGCTGCCATGAAGCAGCCTCTGCCCACAGCAGACCCAGGCTTGCTGTGGACAGAGGCTGCTCTGTGGCAGCAGCCCCTGTCCACGAGGGGTCCAAGCTCCCCACAGACAGAGGCTGATCCCTATCCCACACCCCCTTCCCTCCCACAGCAGCCTCTGTCCGTGGGGAGCTCAAACCCCACATGGACAGGGTCTGCTGCCACCCTGCACTGCTGCCTCAGATACAAAGGCAGCAGCACAGGGTGGCAGGGGTCTCCCCAGGAATGGGGCCGGAGAGCACTGGCTGCTGCCCCTTCCCCAGGACTATAGAATAATTGAGTAACCGATAGGAAATAATGCACTCACTTGACTATTCAGTTAACTGACCCTAACATCCCTAATGCCTAGCTTTGACCTTGAGAGTAGCCCCACTGGAAAATGTGAAAAGACTGTCATTGCAACTTTTCTTGTGTTGGAAATTAGGCAGGTGTTTAAGAACCTTGCTGAACTTGGGTCTTTCATCCTTTTTAGGTGTAGAAGTGTTTTGGGGAAATTCTGACTTGTGTGAGCGGCATCTACATTGCAGTTCACTCAAAGTCTCCTTAAATCTGGCGGCGTTAGGAGGCAGTCTTTATGTACAGATGAAGTCTCCTTTTATAGTTCACCTCTGAAGGTAGCCCAGCGCTTTTCTTCATCACAGGTTCTGCTAATACCTTCACTGAGGACAGCCTAAGGGAGATATCACTATGTATTTATCTCTGAGTTTTTCTGTGTTCTTTATAGACTCTTCTGGAGTAACTAGTCAATAGCCCGTCATAAAACGGGATTTTCGTGTCTCTCCTCCATGTCCGTCTCTCTCTCTCTCTCCTCCTCCTCCTCCTGCCTCCCCCCACCCTCAGCTCGCCTCTGCCCCCTGCCTCTCTCTCAGTCTCTCTCTTTCTCTTCTCCCTCTCCTGCCTCTCACTCGGGGGACCACAGAGCCCAAACGGCTGTTTGGGCTCCACGCTCCTCATGCAGCACCCAAACGGCCTCTTGTGCTGCTTGCTCCCCTGTGGTGGCCCAGCGGAGTGGCAGAAGTCAGCGGAGCGACACGGTTGGAGGGGAAGGGGACGGGGCGGTGACGTACACGGCCAGGGAGTGGGGCCCGAGGTGCCTTCCAGTTCTAGAGTTCTGTGATTCTATGAAGACCAAGTCATCATCATCAAATGACTGCTTGGTTGCTTATGTGACATGAAGCGGTAGAGCACTTAGAAGTCTAAGTAGAGAGATCACAAAGCCACTACTGTTGTCTTGGCACCATGGTTCGTAATCTCAGTAGAGATAGGAGTAACTCAGCATGGAGACTACTTCTCCATCGAGTACCTAGATGATGTGATTGTGAGCAACTGCGCATTGCTGCTGCCTTTTCCGAGGCAAAGGACTTCACTTCCACGTTTATCAACCTAGCTCAAAATTCACTTTAAACGTTTCTTTAGACAGGCAAAAAAAAAAGAAGACATTTCCATGCTTGATTTCATTCCCCCTATTTTCCACCTGTCCACACATGAGTTAGCTAAACAAATGTATATACAGTTCAGGTATGATCTCCTCCCTGAGATATGAATGTAGGAGTTACATTTAGCACAGTCAGGTGCTGATAATCACGTACTGCTAGAAGCCAATTTTTGGATTTCACATGGAAACAGACTTGCACTGGTACAGGCTGTGAACTTTGTCATCTAGAATGAGGTGGAGGTGGGGAATGGCCGGGAGTTGTAGGAATTTGTCAATGGAGGGAATGCACTGAGCGTACAATGTCAGCCAGGAACTGCTGAGTTTTAGTCATTGCTTGGAAGTTGTCTCTTTAACTATTTAAAGTATGACTCAAGAGAAGCTCTGGGATTATTTCTTCTGCTCTTGTTTCAGAGCAGGCAATTCATACATGACGTGGCAAAGATCTACTCGATCACGGTGACCAATGTGTTAGATGGAGTTGCCTCATTTTGCCGGGCCTGTGCACTGGGGTCTGAACAGTCTGGATCATCCTGCATACCCTGTCCTGCTGGACACTACATTGAGAAGGAAACCAACCAATGCAAGGAGTGCCCAACCAACACGTATCTGTCTATACATCAGGCGTACGGCAGAGAAGCTTGTATCCCATGTGGGCCTGGCAGTAAAAGCAACAAGGTACAGAGACCAAAAGTGGTTCTATCCCTGACTAAGGGCAGAATGGGAGAGTGTAATATAAACACTCAAAGGGCAGGTCTTACTGCTTCACTGTAAAAAAACCACCGGGGTACTAGTTCTACAGTGTAGTTAAAATCAATGTTTCATAGCTCTAAATTCATCCCTGTGTAACTTCCGTTTGTAAATGTGCCTTGATATTCTACATTTCTATTTTTGTGCATCCCGCAATGTGTAATGAAACCCTATCTAGTCAATCTGCACGGATTGAACCCAGGGATCTACAAGCTTCTCCTGGCTGACTCAAAACACCAGCTCACTGGTGCAAATGTAGTAATGGACTTGTAACTGCTCTATGTTATCTAGCTGCTGTAGAGGACAAAGACTGAGACTGATTTAATTGGGATTAAATAAATTTGCCACTACCTCTGCTGGCCGGAATTCTAGTCTCACTTCAGACTGTGATGTAATAACAGTAGTGTATAGCAGACAGAAACTGTGGTTCAGGTAGTTTGGAACAGGAGTGGGAGCTGTCATCTGACCAATCTAGGAGGAGGGGAAGGGATGAGCCAGAGAGATAGAAAGGACTCTTTCTTTACTTTAACAAAGGAAGGGGAGTTATTGGGGTCAGTACTGTCCAGTAATATTTACCTTCTCTCCTTCCCAAAGGATCACTCCATCTGCTTCAGTGACTGCACGCTCTCTTACCTCAAGGACAACCAGAGCCTGAATTATGACTTTACCAACCTCAGTGGGGTGGGGTCATTAATGAATGGACCCAGTTTTACATCCAAAGGGACAAAGTTCTTTCATTTCTTTAACATCAGCCTGTGTGGGAATGAGGTGAGTGTTGGCTTTTGCAGGCAGGGCTAGCTGTACACTCAGGGTATGTCTAGACTACATGCCTCTGCCGACAGAGGCAAGTAAAATAGGCTACCCGACATAGTCAATGAAGCGGGGATTTAAATATCCCCGGCTTCATTAAAATAAAAATGGCCGCCACGCTGTGCCGGCTCAGCTGATCGTTGGCACAGTGCACATGTCAAGACATGGATTGGTCAACCAGGAAAGCCTTTGTCGACCGCTCCTGTAAATCTTGTTTCATGAGGTGTAAGAGAGCAGTCGACAAAGGCTTTCCTGGTTGACCAATCCATGTCTTGACATGTGCACTGTGCCAACGATCAGCTGAGCCGGCACAGTGCGGTGGCCATTTTTATTTTAACGAAGCCGGCAATATTTAAATCCCCACTTCATTGACTATGTCGAGTAGCCTATTTTACATGCCTGTCTCGGCAGAGGCATGTAATCTAGACGTACCCTCAGAGTGTGAATTTCCTGACATCGGTATAGGGCAGCATCTCACTAGTTCGTTGCGACTTGAACTTAGTTGCAGCTAAGAGTCCTCGGCTCCCTCAGCTCCTTATGCAAATGGGCCCTGCTTAACACAACCACTTTTCATTGGGCTTTGATTGCAGCTCTGCATGAGGCTGCTGTGTATGGCAGAATGATTTTCCGGTGAGGGCACGGAAGTGCTGATGGCTGAATTGCTGTACAGAAATGGAGCTTGCTAGCTGTGCAGCCTCACTGATTTTCCTTTGTTCTCATGACAGGGGGGGTCTCCTAAATCCAGTCATAAACCTGCTGTTAATGTGGTATGCTGCTGAGCTAGCAGTCAGACTCTGCTGCTGCTATCTTTCCTCAAGGCTCCCTGGGTTTCAGTCTATGGTGCCCGGTGATGCCCAGCTATGCCACAGCCTGCACTTCCTGTGGCTTTCTGTTTTCAGGCTTTTGGAGCAGTGGTGAAAAGCATATAACCTATGTAGTTTACTGCATATGCTCCTGGTTCATTTAGAAAACCAGGGTTTCCAACAACCAGGGCTAAATCTGTGACTTGAAATGCACCAACACAATGCTAGTATGTACCCTGATCTGTCAAGGCACTGAAGGCCATGCTTAAGTGAAAGCATGTAAGTAATCCAGTGGGCCTAATTGCATGCTTAAAATGCATAGTTGCTTAATTGCTTAACTGAAGCAGATCCTCAGGGCTCAGCATCTGGTCTCTTCCTGATCTGGTCTCTTCCTGTGTAATGTTAAGTAGCGGAGAAGTCCCCTCATTTTGGAGTGACACACATCCTTTGAGTTAAGCCTGTGCTTACATGGTTTGTTGGACCAGGAACATGGAGTGCTCATTAGCTTGCAAATTTGGGCCCTTTGTGAGTAAATTGCTTTAATGTTGTGGCTCTGCAATTTTACCATCAGTCTGTAATGAAATATACGCATGACTCCAGGACATATTAATGCAGGCTAGAACCTAATATACATTCGCTTATGCTTTATATGCATTTATACTCTTTCTTCCAGCTTAAACACAAGATAATAAGGTATTTTATAGCGTACCATTATATGGTTAAGGGAAATACAGTTTTCTTTTATATGGCATTTTATTTTGCTTTGCAAATAAACACCATGTTGTCAAGATAAAGAAATAAAGGTGCTTAGTATCACAAGTAGGAGACTGATGCTTCAGAATTTGTACCAGAGTTTAATGGAAAGCTTCATGTTGAAAAAATAATGTTGCAGTTTGTCTCTTTCTTGCTGCCAATAGCTACTTGTTTTTAAGCTGGAATGGGGAAAGTACGCTGTGTTTGCAACCCCTCCCTCCTAAGGCTGAAAATAAGGCTGAAAGTTAATAC